CTCCAACCTGGGCCTTGGACATTTCCAGGGATGAGGCAGCCAGCCACAGCTTCTCTGGGCAGCCTGTGCCAGTGCTCCAAGGGGTTTTAGGTTGTTTTAAAAGGCAAACCCAAGGTGAGTGCTGAAGTGCCTCCTCCAGATGTGCTCTGCTGTTCACACCACAGAACAGTGTTAGTATTTCTGCCAGCCAGGCTCCTGTGCCAACCCCAGCCCGAGCCCAGACTGTCCCAGAGTGGCTGCTGGTGGTGTCCCTCTTCTTGCCCTGTCCCTCCTCAAAACCTCAGGACAAAACTCCCTTTTCCCAAAAGACAGGGAAATCTCCCAGCAGCTCCAAACTGCCTCCCCCAGTCCTGCAGCCCAGGGAAGAGTCAGGCCCTCCTGCACACAGCCCTGTCTGCAGCACAGAAACAAACTCACCCCTGCCCTGCCCTTTACCTAGCAGCAGGAGATCTTTGCTCACTGACAAGTTGCAGTGGATTTGTTTTACATGACCATAAAATAGCAGGGAATAAAATGTCTCTGCCACCTGTGTTTCCAGAGAGCCACGGGAATTTTTTTCTCATTGCTTCTCTCCAGCTGTGAACTCAGCCCTTCTTATCAAACTCGGCTTTCTAACCAAACTCAGCCCACCTCACGGTGTTCATGTGAAAGGTGAGGGATTCTCCCCGACACAACAACCATTTTGAACTTCAAAGTCCAAATTCTGGCTGAGCTGGAGCCACTAACCAAACTTCCCACTCCTTTCCCACTATGTGTAAAGCTAAATAACCATTCTTGTCCGTGTTTTTCTCTTTGAAAGCCCACCAAGAAAAGCAAATTATGCAGTAGGAGCCTGTGCAGACCCTCCTGACCATCGTGGTGCAAGGGGCTGTGAGCAGACACCTCTCCCCTGAGGATCTGCTCCTCGCCTGTTGGGACATGATGGATTTAAGTCAGAGAAATTCTGCCTGTCCCCTCTCTGCCTACCACTCACCTGAACACCTCCAAATCTGCCGGGTAAAAAAATATCAAAGCCACATTCCCCACGGAAAAATCCTGTCTTGGATAAAGAAAATGAAGCCTCATTCATTCAACTTGGGCAGTTTTGGACTTTACAGCTGTCAGGTGATGTGGGTGCCACAAGTCCCCAAACTAAAAACCAAGACACATTGATGCCAACTCAGTTTTATTTTTGCTTTCTCACTTGTGAAGATCTCAACAGCAAGCCAGACTTGCACAAAACATTCAAAGTCTACATGGAGCCACAGTTCTTTGTGAACACAGTTTATGGCCCAGTTTAGAAGAGATCTGGAGCAGAAACACGGCTTAAAATCACATCACCTAAAGGAAGGCCAGAAACCAGGCAGCCCATCAGTTTTCTGTCTGACTGTATTTTTCTCCTTTATTATGTTAGTCAGGTGCTAAACAAATAAAATCAATTCTGAACTTATAAAAAGCAATTGGAAATGTCTAGTCTTTTATAGTGAAATCTCAACTTAAGCAGCCCACAGCACTTGGAGAAAAATCAATCATCATTTCCATCCTGCTACATGTGCTACTAAAATTAAGAATTGATGTTTGGCTGCAAAGGAAAATTATTTCAAGAGAACCACCTTAGCAACAGTTTTCAGTGTTCATAAACCTCCTGTTTACAGTTTTTCTCATGGCAGACGAACTCCTACATCCCACCATGAATTATAAATATTAACAAGAGATCCTGATTTGCATACAGTTTCCATCTTAATGGGCATCAAAATTGCAAGCAGGGCAACAGCACCACTTATGGTAATAGCAAGTAGTAAACATGTCCTCAGCCTAAAGAGGTCATAAACCAGTGTTAAATGCCTCTGTAATTGCAGCCTCTCCCATATCCAAACCAAAATTCAGATGATTTTGCCAGCAGCCTTTCCATAAAGACAGAGAGCTTGGAATGGGGCATCTGAAGAAGCACTTCACTCTGATGCAGCCTAAATATTTTAGCAACCTGCTCTGCCCATTTGGAAGCACCACTCCCTGCATGTCCTTTGACTTATTGCAGCCCAGCCTATAGAACTTGTATGATATTTTGTGCAAACCACATTAATATCTCCCAGAATATGCCACAACCACAGTGAAAGCCATCCCTTCCTCCAAATAATGTCCAGCCCATCAGCTCTATTTATTAATGAGCGATATTAATGAGCTGCTGTTTCTCCAACACCCAGGGGCTGTGCAGCAGCAGCAGCCTGGGCCGTGTGACACTCTGAGCACAGTGCTGTCCCCTCCAGCCCACCTGGCTTCCCAAAGACTTTTCTGTGATGGGGTTTGTGGTGGCCACAAGAGTCACTTTGCTCACGTGGGGTTTGTAATCAACCTGTGGCTCTCAGGAGGTTTTTGGAAGTGACAGCCCCATCTGCCCCCCAAATCCACCCACAGGGGGCTTGGCTGCCTAAAGAAACAGTAAGGAGGGTGATGATCACTGCACCAAACCCAGTTTTTTGAAGTTTTTCCCAACCAGGTTTGATCCAGCTGGTTCTCCCAGCCGTTGGCTTCTTGCCCATCAATCTCTGGATTCAGTCCCACTTACACCATCCTGTGTTCATCCCCTTTTGGTCTTTGATTACTGCAATTAGCACATGTGATGTGGCCTCAGTGGCAGAGCGTTCCCAACTTCCTGGGAATTTCCCTGATGCCAGGATGGGGACACTGCACGGCTCTGGCTCTGTCCAGTCCTGCTTTTCTCGCGTCTGTTTCAAAAAGATTTCAGTGAACTCTGAGAATTGAATAACTGACTTTGATAGGGAAATTACTGTTCCAGTATACAGCAAATAGCAGCGCTTCAGAACACTGTTAAACCAGTCTGGAAAATGAACTTTATTAATAAAAAGCATTCTAGTAATGTATTGTGACAGCTTTTAGTGAAATCAGCTCCACCAGTTTGATTCTCCCAGGGACACAGCAAGACACTCCCTCAGCCTTGAGCCATGGCATCAGCAAGCAGACACTTTTCTGATAAATGGCCCCAGAAACCCAAATTACAGTTGCAGCAAATGAACAGTATGTTGAAAATTACTCGGTGGTTTTTTGTGTGGGCCATCGTGCTGGTACCTGGGTGTGCACTGACACCTAGTGGGATGGCCCCAGGCTGGGAGCAGAGGAGTAAACTGCGTTATTCTCTTAAAGAATATTAACAGCCAGCCCCTCTTGGTGCTAAACCTCCATGTCCATGGTGGGGTGGCTGGAACAGAGTGATCTTTGGGGTGTTTCCCAATACAAATCATTCTATGAGTCTACAGCTGCCATGAGATGACAGTGTTGGGTTATTTGTGCCCCTTCCTCTCCTGCAAGCAGTGTTTTAGTTTTGATTTCTAAATGTTGCACCTCTGCCAGCTAAAGGGTTAATTCACCACTTCTCTCGTGTCTGCTCTCCCTGCCTGGGTCACTCCCTCCTCATTTATGGGCACAGGTGGGAAGAATAGCAGGGATTTGGTGTGGATCAATCCAAGTCTAGAGATGCAGGTGTAGGGAGAGCTCAGCCAGTCTCTCTGATGTTGAAATTCACCGTGCTGGTTAAACTGCAGTGTGCCAAAATCAGCGTGGCCATGCTGGGAGTGCAGGCTGGGGAACCTTTCCCGGTGTGAGCCACAGCTCACCACAAAATCCCAGAACGGGTTGGGTTGGAGGGACCATGCAGTGCCACCCCATCCATGGGCAGGGACACCTCCCACTGCCCCAGGCTGCTCCAGCCCCAATGTCCAACCTGGCCTTGGGCACTGCCAGGGATCCAGGGGCATCCCATATCCACGGCTTCTCTGGAAAGTTCTGGACAGCACCAGGGGACACCAGGCTGCTTTCAGCCCCGCTGTGCTGGACCCACCTGAGACAGGGAACAACCCACATCTGAACCCATTCCAGTGCAGGAGGGCGGCACCACTGCACGCCTCCATCTATGGATTCGGTTTCCAAAACAGGTCCTGCTGCATCACACAAACCTCACCCAGAGCTGGGTTTGAATTACGGGGAGAAACAGCGTGAGGAAGGTTTGTCAGGAGAGATGTTTATAGGCAGCCATCTCCCAATTGCTTCACAAATATTCTGGCCCATTTCCAGCCCCAGGTCCCGACAGGAACCACACAAGAGCGGTGCCAGGCACCACGGCCTCGTCCCACACGGGACCAGCACCTTCCCGGCTGGCAACACCTCACTTCTATGGGAGCGCTACAGCACTCGTTATCTTTATTTTGGGGCCTGAGAGCAGCACCTAAAGCGCTGCCTGCTCAGCTCTTTCCTGCCATCAGGACAGCGAGTTACAGCCTCCGGAGGCTTGCCGCAGGAATCTCCCGCTTCTCTGCGAGCAGTTCCCGTGATAATCCCCGCAGCCAGAGCCGCACAGCCCCGCCGCGGCAGCAGCGATACCCCCGGAGTCCGCGGTAGCAGCGATGCCCCCGGAGTCCGCGGTGGCAGCGATAACCCCGGAGTCCGCGGGGCAGCGATACCCCCGGAGTCCGCGGTGGCAGCGATACCCCCGGAGTCCGCGGGGCAGCGATACCCCCGGAGTCCGCGGGGGCAGCGATACCCCCGGAGTCCGCGGGGGCAGCGATACCCCCGGAGTCCGCGGGGGCAGCGATACCCCCGGAGTCCGCGGTGGCAGGGATACCCCCGGAGTCCGCGATGGCAGCGATACCCCCGGAGTCCGCGGGGGCAGCGATACCCCCGGATCCCCCAGCGCACCGCGCTCCCTCCGCGCGTCCCGCACCGCCGCGAGCAGCGCTTCCGCCAGCGCGTGCGCCGAGCGCTCGCTGCTCCCATTGGCTGGCGATGGAGGCGGAGCGGGACTGGGAGAAGCGGAGACCTCTTCCATTGGCTGGAGGGGGATGAGGGGTGGGGCCAGGGCTGAGGCGGCCTTGAGGGCGCTTGGGGCCGGAGGGATCGGGGAGCGAGTCCCGGTGAGGGACCCGGCCATGGCGGGCACTGGCGCGGCCATGCAGCGCTTCCTCGGCCCGCTGCTGTGCCTCTGGGCGCTGCGGCTCCCGGCGGGCAGCGGTGCGGCCGCCCGCGGGCTGGACGTGGCTTCCTACCGGTGAGTACGGAGAGGGCGGTGCGGGGCCCGGCCGGGCCGGGGCTGAGCGCTCCGTGCTTGTGCCGCAGGGAGCGGGTCCGTGCCATGTTCTACCACGCCTACGAGCACTACCTGGAGAGCGCCTTCCCTTACGATGAGCTGCGGCCGCTGACGTGCGATGGGCAGGACACCTGGGGCAGGTAAGGGCTGGCCTCGGGATGGGGAGGGGATGGGCCGCCCCCTCCGCCAGGCCTCACCTGGCTTCTGTCCTCCGCAGCTTCTCCCTGACCCTGATCGACGCCCTGGACACCCTGCTGGTGAGTAAGAGCCAGTCCTGAGTGCCCACAGCCTGCTCAAGGGCCCTGTGTGCCGCCGGTACACCTGGATTTGATGTGCTGGTGCCAAAAGTCAGTTATTCATTGACCTGAGAACTTTTCATTTCCCTTTGCATCAGCCTTGGGAGGGGTGGCAGAACGCCCCTTTCCTGACACCTTCTGCAGTAAAGACCTAAAGTCTTTACTTTAAAAAAAACCTTTTCAAACAAGGTGAAGCTGCCGTTTTTTTAGTAATAGCTGTAGCTAATGATTTCACTAAATTTTAAAGCCAGACTAAAATCTGAACTGCTCTGTTTTTCTATGAACTCTAAGCCTGATTCTCTGTTTCTCTGCAGATCTTGGGAAATGTTTCTGAGTTCCAGCGAGTTGTCAACGTGCTGCAGGAAGGAGTGGACTTCGATATTGATGTCAACGCATCTGTCTTCGAAACAAACATTCGAGGTGAAGTGGGGTTTTCTGTGGGGTTTGTGTTGGGTTTCCCTCCTGTACGAGTCTCAGAGGTGGTGGTGAGGAGGGGGTCAGAGGGAATTTAGGATGCAGAGAGAAAACCCCCAAACGAACGTCACTTCCTTTCAGTCTTTGCACGTCCCTTTTTGCTTCCTGTCTCAACATAAGCAGAAGTAGATGTGGCACTTTCAGTATTCTTGTGTGAGGTTTTCAGCTTTGGAATAAATACATTTTTCACTGAAAGCATAGAGATTTTATCATGTTGTCTTTTGCATAATGTTTTGGAGTAGAGATTATCAATTCTTAGGATTATTCTTTTTTTTTTTTTCAAAATCACAAAGGTCTTTGGAGTCTTGCACCTTGAATGCCTGACTGCTTCAGTGCCATCCAGCTAAAAGACACTGTCAGGGCACAAAACTTTATTATGCTTTTGTTATTTGTCCTGCCAAATATTGCTGTGTCAATTTTTGCAGCAGTGTAATTTTTCTGTGGTTGTTATGTGACTGTAGACAAGCCTGTGAAATAACTAATATTAGTTAATATACCTGTATTAGCTATATAAGTAATAGCTAATAGTTAAGTATAGCTGATAAATCACAGCTGCTGTCACACAGAAATTCTTGACTCTTCCTAGAAAAAACAAATACATCATAGAATCTTAGAGTGGTTTGGAAAGGACCTTAAAGATGATTCATTCCACCCCCTGCTATGGGCAGGTTCCACTGTCCCAGGTTGCCCCAAGCCCTGTCCAGCCTGGCCTCGGACACTGCCAGAGATCCAGGGGCAGCCACAGCTGCTCTGGGCACCCTGTGCCAGAGCCTTACAACCCTCACAGGGAAGAATTTCTTCCCAATATCCATCTAACCCTGCCCTCTGGCAGTTTGAAACCATCACCCCTTATCCTGTCACTCCACACGTTTCTGCTGCCCTGCAAACAGCATCGAGAAACAAATCACTCTTCTTTTGAGGATTTGCATTAGACTCATTCCTCCCCACGTGGGCTAATGGATTGTGATGTGTCCTTGCAGTGGTGGGAGGGCTCCTCTCTGCTCACCTGCTCTCCAGGAAGGCTGGGGTGGAAGTGGAAGCAGGCTGGCCGTGCTCGGGGCCTCTCCTGAGGATGGCTGAGGAAGCAGCTCGCAAACTGCTGCCAGGTGAGCCACGTGTGCTGTGTGTCACCGTGCTGGGGATCCTGAGCTGCCTGCTGCCCGTGTTGGGACATGCACTGATGGATGAGCCAGCTCAGAAACCAGTCCTGTGGTCCCTGAGCTGCAAGCTCACTGCTCCAGGTTTAATTTGTGGGAAGATGTTGTATGTGTGTAAGTGCTGTGTGTGCTTAACACATCACTGTACTTGTTGAGGGCAAATATATTTTATTTATTTATTTGTGTGCCCTTATGGCATGGCACTGTGCCCTCGTGTGCACCATGGAGTGATCACAGCCTCACTGTTGGCACTTTGCTGGCCAGTGTGTTTAGTGACCACCTTGCTTGTGCTGTAAGAAATGAGGGTGTGCAGTCTGCTGCTCTGGCAAGGTGGAGGAGATTCCCAGGACCTTCCCAGGACTGTGTGTACCTTAGGATAACCTCTCTGACCCTCCCAGGATCATACTCCTCATTTTGTTCTCTGCAGTTCTTCCAGACCCACTTCCTGCCCGTGTGCAGTGGCATGTGAGGCACATGTTTGTTTGGGAGTCTGTTAAACACAACACTGAGCACTTCTGTAACCCCAAAATTCTGTGTTTCAGCTTTCCAAACCCCGACTGGGATGCCCTATGGCACAGTGAACCTGCTGCATGGAGTAAACCCTGGGGAGACCCCAGTCACCTGTACTGCTGGAATTGGCACGTTTATAGTGGAGTTTGCCACCTTAAGCCACCTCACTGGTGACCCAGTGTTCGAGGACGTTGCCAGGAAGGCTTTGAAGGCCCTGTGGAAAAATCGCTCAGATATTGGGCTGGTGAGTGAGGAATGGACTTGGAATGTGCTGGGCTGCTTCTTGTGTGGCTTTGTGGATGCAATTCTAGGCATAAAAAAAAACATCAACAGAGAGGAGATAGGAGCACTGTGGTTATTTATCCAACTCTAAGTGGGCTGAAGGCTCGTGTTTGACATTGTTCCTGAACACCTGCAGCATCCACATCCCTGTTTTACTGCAGCAGCTCAACATTATCCCATTGTTCTGGCCCACACCAGATGTGGCTGGGAGACAAATGCCTCCTGCTGAGTGCTGCAGCTCTTGGGACAGCAGCTGTAGCAGATTAAATGAAAGGTCTGTCTGATGCCTGCTGGGACAAAGGCCTAGGGAACAGAACAAGAGCATGGCAAGTGCACTGAGATATTTCCAGCCTGTACAGCTCTGGGGTTCAGGAATACCCAGAGCTGGCAGTATTATCTCTGTGTTCACTGTCTCCTGATCTTTTCTAACCTCTGATTTTTTAAACTCTGTGAACTCTTGGTGTTGCATATGTGAAGTGAAACACATTTATTTATACCCTGTGTTTATTGCAACAGGTTATTCACAGGCTGTATGAAGAAATGTTTCCCTTTGTTTGCTTTGGGATTTATTTATTTTTGATTTATACCCTGAATCCTCAATCATTGCTGGCTTTTTTTCATGTTTGCTAGAAAAGACATGATTGTGTATTTAGATCTCCATCAGCTGGGCTTGTTCACAGGCTGAAGAGTGCCAGCATCTATTTAAATAATAACATGACAGCTCTTGTGCCTTTGACATTCTTGGCCTCTGTCTCTATCTGCACCTCTCCATCCTTCTGTATTCTTTTGTAAGATCAGAATTAGATGCTTCATGTTGAAACTGTGCATTTTTACAGTAGCATTATAATGGGTTGTTTTGGCCAGTGAAGCATTGATAATAGAAGCATAAAATTTTTATTGTATATATAAAATACCTTATCAGCATGAAAATTGTATTTTCCACAGTTTGTATATAAGCACAACAGTTGTATTTTCTACAGTTTATATTTCTCTGATGCTGAAAAATGTGTCCTGGTTGGAATGGACATTGTATGTCTGTGCAACTGATGGTCTGAGAAAAGGACCAGGATTTCTTGTGTCACTTTAAGTCCCTCTCTCCTTATCCTTCACCCCTTCCAGGTGGGGAACCACATTGATGTCATCACTGCCAAGTGGGTGGCCCAGGATGCTGGGATTGGGGCAGGGGTGGACTCCTACTTTGAGTACCTGGTTAAAGGAGCCATCCTCCTGCAGGACAAGGAGCTGATGTCCATGTTTTTAGGTGAGTGTTTGTTTTCTGGGGGAAGGGGGCCAGCACCTGAGGCAGGAGGAGTTAAGGATCTAATGAGGCACATTCAAGACTCTTGTGAAGGCTTTGTTGTAATGCTTTTGAACAGTCTGTGATAACAGAATTACCAAAGTGAAAAGTCATTGAACATGGCTCAGGTGAAAAAGGGGCTTCTCTCATTCTTAAAAATAGGCTTGTTTGTTTGGTTGGGTTTTTTTTGTTGTTGTTGTTTTTTGTTACAGATAGCTTACCTACCCATCTGTTTCTTTACAGAATATAACAAAGCTATCAAGAATTACACCAAGTTTGATGACTGGTACCTGTGGGTTCAGATGTACAAAGGAACGGTGTCCATGCCTGTGTTCCAGTCCCTGGAGGCCTATTGGCCAGGCCTGCAGGTAAGAGCTGTCATACCAGTAGCACCTGGTGAGCTCAGCCCCAGTCAGGGGCTGGTCTTCAAGAAAAAAGTTACAAATATAACCCTCATCCGTGCAAGTTTTAAGGTTTGGTTTGATCTCTGGTGAAATCTGCAGTAGCCTGAGCCTATAGAAAATGATGTTGAAGAGATTGTTTTTATTACAGTCTCCCATTCAGCATGATGGGAGGGCACTTTTGTTGTAGCAAACTCCCACTGCAAGTGGTCCCATAATCCAAATGGGAATGAGAGGAAAAAGAAACTCACACCTCTTTTCTTATTACCTTACAAATGTTTTATTTGTGAATTTTTTCCCATCAAGAGCTTTACTTTCTCATCAGTCTTCATGTTTGGACTGAGACTTTGTTTTCCTAACTAAGAGATTGGATGCTGTGACTGACTAAACATTTGACTGGAGAAACACAGCCTTTTTTTTTTTCAAAAAATCAGAGCCTTCATATTATTTCAGGTGTGGGGATGTGATCCACCAGAAAAGCAGCATTTTCAGCCTTACCTGTTGTGAAGGCCTCGTGCCCCAGTATCAGCTGCACCACTCAGACCTGCTGAAATACCCAGTGACACAAATGGCTATTTCTTTGCCTGTAGCAGTGTTATTGCATTAATTCCTGTGCTGGTTTTAGTTCACTGCCATGTTTGTTTCCTTGCTGTTTGCTGTCTCTCAGAGCCTCATTGGGGATGTAGACAATGCCATGCGCACCTTCCTCAACTATTACACGGTCTGGAAGCAGTTTGGGGGCCTGCCCGAGTTCTACAACATTCCCCAGGGATACACAGTGGACAAGAGGGAAGGATATCCACTCAGGCCTGGTAAACACAGCTGAAATTAAAAGTGACATGAACTCCTTGCTTTAGCAGGTTGGGAGATCAAATGTTCACCAGTTTCTTCCTCATTTTTGTTCTGACTCAGTTCCTGCATGGATTTGAGCAGGGATTTCCAGAGTTAAAGCTGCATGTTTTGTTTTCCCCATTCACAAAGACAGGAAGGAAACAGGAAGCAAACCATAGTGTTACTATAGAAAGGTGGCCTGGTATTGAATTTTGTTCATAGTGTGAGATTTGACATGTTTAAGTGTTAGATTGTTTGTTTGGCATGGGGTGCTTCAGTCATGTGAGATGTTAAAGGGACTGCTTGTGTCCCTTAAATTTAGGAAGTGAAAGTGAGTGTGAATAGACTGTTCCAGTTCTGCATTTAGGAGGCATTCTGTGTTGTCTGTGGTACTGTAAGGAAATTATCTCTTTTTTTCTAATTGTTTACAACTCTAACAAAAAAAAAAAAAAATTAACCTGATTAGTGGGCCCATAAATGTAAATGAGAATAATTAACTTCCTTTTGGTCTGAGTGTTCAGGTGACATCCACACTGGACAAATGTACCAAAAATACTCACCAGCCCTAACTATCAAAGATGTTAAAGACCATTTTCTTTAGTAAGTAAAAACAGCATGGTGCTTATGTTGCCTGTATAGAATATTTCCACTGTGTTGTTTAAAACCAGTATTTTGAGGACTGAATTTCTTGTTTGTAATCCTTTCCAGAAGCATTTTTTTAACTTTGGCAACTGAGTATTAATCTTTTTGTCTCTTGTTTCTCTCCCACTTGCTGAATGTGGAGGGAGCATTGGCCACTCTTAGGGAATTTCTTTGTAGCACATCCTTAGGAAAAGGAAAATCTGTGCTTGAAGCCAGGCTGTTCACCTGATGATGCTGAGGTGTTTTTAAATTAGTTGAAGGAATAGCTCATGTTTGCTGTGGGTATGGTTTGATTATCTTTGTGCTGGAAAATGTTTGGGTGTTTTGCAGAGCTGATTGAGAGCGCGATGTATCTGTACCGTGCCACGAGAGACCCCACACTCCTGGAGCTGGGCAGAGATGCTGTGGAGTCCATAGAGAAAATCAGCAAAGTGGACTGTGGGTTTGCAACTGTGAGTGCTAAATCATCTGCCATGGCAGCTGAAGGGCTGCTAAAAATCAGCTTTCAGAAGGTGTTCTCATGAGTGATGTTTTACCATTGAGTCAAGCAATCATTTTGGGCAAAACATGACTTTTTTCCAACAAGCCCCTTGTATTTCTCTGTGAAGCTGCTTTGGTAATTGCTCATCATGTTTCTGGTCATAGCTTCCTCACAGTGGGCCAAATTCTATCATGGGCTGTTGCCTCAGAGCCCAAAACATGGGAAAGCACCAGAAGCTTCTCCTGCATATCTGCTAGATTTTGCAGCTGAGCAGGAAAGTTCTTGTGCAGTTCTCCTGCCAGGTGTGTGATTCTGCTTTCCCACTATGCCTTGAAAATCTGGTCAAACACATAAGAAATGTAGTGAGTGATTTTTATAAAGTTACTTAATAGAGGATTTCAAACATGCTATCAAGCTCTATTTTGCAAAAAATCTCTTTAAAAATGTTGGGAGGAAGTAGGTAAAAGCCTTATCAATTTTTTCTTTGGTGGGAAAATGATAGGAAGCTCTTCTCCTTGCCCAGACTGAACTGAGGGTGAGTTTAGATGTTAGGAAGAAATTCTTCCCTGTGAGGGTGCTGAGGCCCTGGCACCCCTGTGAGGGTGCCCAGAGCAGCTGTGGCTGCCCCTGGAAGTGTCCAAGGCTAGGTTGGACAGAGCTTGGAGCAACCTGGGCTAGTGGAAGGTGTCCCTGCCCATGGCAGGGGGTGGATTGAGATGAGCTTTAAGGTCCTTTCCAACCCAAACCACACTGTGATAAGATGAAGGGTGAGTTGGTTTAACTGAAATTAATTCCAAGTAGGTTTTATTTGCTCCCTAAATTCATAACTTACTGATTTCAATGTAACTGTAACTCACTCTTGTTTCTTCTCTTGTAGATCAAAGACTTGAGGGACCACAGGCTGGATAATCGCATGGAATCCTTCTTCTTGGCTGAAACAATCAAATACTTGTACCTGCTGTTTGACCCAGACAATTTCATCCACAATGACGGCTCAGACTTCGACGTGGTGGTCACACCGTATGGGGAGTGTGTCCTCAATGCTGGAGGCTACATCTTCAACACCGAGGCTCATCCCATTGACCCTGCTGCCCTGCACTGCTGCAGGAAACGCAGGGAAGAGCAGTGGGAGGTGGAAGACTTGATGAGGGAATTCTACTCAAGGAAGAAAACCAAGAAATTCATTTTAAAAAGAGCTCCTAACTATGGTGAGGGGGAAAGTGCAAAAGACCCCGAAGATGCCTCTTCAGAGAAAGCTGGAGAGAAGAGAAACCCTAAGAAAAGCTCACACTCCCTCCTGAGCTGCCCCAGTCAATCTTTTAATTCCAAGCTTGCAGTACTGGGACAGGTCTTCCTGGATAACACCTGATCCTCTTTGTGTCATCAGTTTAAATTTTTGAACTCGTTTCAGATTCTGGGAATATATTTTTATAGTTTCATAATGGAAAGTGTGGTACTTCACAATGTGAATTCTATTATGAAGTGAAACAACTTACCATTAAATTGTGCTACTGCTCCTTTCTAAGCCATGACTCAGATACCAGCTGTTAATGCTGTCGAGCTGCTGATCTCAAAGCAGTTGGTTGCCTGAATATCAAACAGGTGTCCAGAAAAAGAAAGGGCTACATGTTAAATGTAACTTTTTTATTTCATTTTGTGAGTTTTAGAGACTTACAGAAGGATCCCAGCTTCCTTGTTCTGAAAAAATGAGCCTGAGTTTCTCGTCATAAAGGGGGAAAGCAGGAATTACTGTAGCTTCACTACAGCTCTCTGTGTGTTCCACCTTTTATCTCTGGCCACTTTATAAACATGTTGTTCATATTGAAAATTGCTGCCCAGTGGAGAAAACCTATTCATTTTGAGGTGAAGGCTCAGATTCGTAGCTCGGGCAGTTCTGTTGGGCATGAAGGATGGTGTGGGGGGAGAGGAGCTCTTGGAACATGGGACAGTGCTCAGTCTCCCTGTTTCAGATCAATGTGGGTCTGTACCTCCTGCCTGAAAACCACTTCAGTAAATGTCCAGGGAATGTCTGGACAAAAAGCTGAGCTGGAGGGTGGACTAGGAAATGTTTGATTCCACAGTGTAGCTTGCTTTCTTTTTAAAGAATCCAACATGGTTATCTCTTATTTCCCCATTTCCTTCCTTTTTCTAACTTCCCTTGGGGCCCATATATTTCACTGTACCTCAGTCAGTGCAGCCACCCCCGAGGTGCCCCAGCTGAGCTGAACATGAGCCTTGCACAAGGCTTGGGTGGAAAGGAGCTCAGCCCAGGCTGAAATTGCAGCTGAGCCTCGGTGCAGCAGGCAGCTGAACAGATGTTCATGAACCTCTTGGTGTTCAGCTGACTCAGCACAGCCAAACCTTTTAATACATTGTCTTTGCAGCAGGTGTGTGCAGTGACCAGAAAAGGAGGAGTCAGTGTGACCGAGATGGTTTTTTTTCTAAAGGAAAAACAAAAAGGGGGGCAGAAAAGTGATGGACTTTGTTCAAGCCTGGTGGAAAGTGAGGAGTCTGGAGCAAGCTACTCATAAGCTACAGGTATTTGAGTGGGCTAAAGGTATAGGATAAACAAATCCCTGTGACCAGGGAAATTCAGCTGGACCAGTGCCCGCTCTGTGGTTGCCTCGGGAAAGTAATTTTTTTTGTTGTTTTGACCTGTACTAGTGCTGCAAAGTTAAATAAAATTTGCATTTTATCCTTCGGGGTAGAAATCCTGTTGCAATTGTGAATGAGCTATGGTAAGAGACATTTGCAGTGTTGGACAGGCACACTGAAAGGACTGGTAAGCTACAGAGCTTCTGATTGAGTCCTTCTTTCCCATGGCAGCTGGGACAGTGTGGGAATTGTGCATTGACACAGCCCTTGCAGCCCTTCTGAGAGAGGAGCACCCAAAACCAGGTATTGTTGGACAATGATGAAGCTCTTGTTATAAATGAGACCACAAAATTAAATTTAGCAGCAAATTTTTAACAGTAACAATTACATAAATGAATACAATCAAAGTATTGGATACATATATTTTAGGATCTAAAAAATTTGCGAGTAAGTAATTTAGTATAATTGAGGTTTGTATAAAGCATAAGCAAAACTAACCAGGGGTATGGGGAGGGGCTCACCCCTCCTCATGTACCAAAGCATCATGGCTAACAATCCCACTTACATACTATATGCTAATACATATTAATACAGAATTGTCTAGTTTCTATTTCCAAAATCTACGTCACTATGTTGCATTGTGCATGCTCTACTAATGGGTTAGGGGGTCTCTCATCCTTTTGAGGGTCTTATTTCCAATTTTAGTCTTCATCAATGACTGATGTGTAACCTTGCAGGTAGTGCAAGTGCACCAAGCTTGGGCTTATGTAGCTAAGCATATCTTCCCACAATAAAACTTACTCAAGTCCCATGCTTGGCATCATCCCAATTTGGCCTGTTCCAAGGTCAAAACTTTTTATTTCTAGATGCTGCTTATCAGACCTACGTCCTTCTACTACTCCCTTCCAACATTCTTCAACTCCCTTCCTACATCCTTCTTTGACTCCCAACATCTGGAGGATGTCCTTTGCCCTGTCTCACCCATCTCCCCCCTCACTCTGTAACAATTGTCTTCTATTCATTAACTACATTTTTGCTAATATAGTTACAATTTAATTAGCACGAATCACATTTATCACACTCTTGTTAGTGGCTCCCTGTTGTCACCATAGGTTGTCTTTTTATTTTCCAGCTGTTCACATCTCACACACTCTTCATTGTTTAATCTGCAGAAAACAAACCCAGGTCTTCTCTAATAGTTTTGCTCAGTGCTGGGCCAGGTCCTGAAACTCAGCATTGTCCCAGCTGTGAGGCAGAGGAAAATAATGGGACAGGGGGCAGATGTCCAACTCATTAGATCCCTCCTGACCAGGGCATTTTGGTAACCTCATCCCAGAATTTCCAGCAGCAGAACCAAGGGGCTGGAGGACTGGGAGATGAGATTGTTGCTCAGCATGGTTAGAGCTGAGAGAAGACATCTGTCCATGGCTGCTGTGAGGAATTAGATGAACCTTGATTAGATTCCCAGATTCGTGTGAGTTGGAAGGCACCCACACGGATGATCGAGTCCAATTCCAAGCCAGTGGCCCAGACAGGAACTGAAACTTTGGTATTAGGACCAAATGCGATTTCATTCAAATGCTGTGGTCTGACTCAGAACAACACAGAACAGCCTCAACCGCTCCTTCTTCCAGCGTTCCACCTTACAAAGCCTTTATTTTAATAAAAACGAACTGTGACCAGAGTTCTCGGTGAGCTTTTCTTTAAAAAAGAAAACGGCGTGGCTGGGCCTCGCTGAGGGAAATAAAGGCATCCGCGGTGGAAATAACGGAATCCCGGTGGAAATAAAGGAATCGCGGTGGAAATAGAGGCATGCCGGTGGAAAGAGGGCGGGGAGCAGCAGCAGTGCCGAGGGCCCGCGGCGCCCATGGCTCCCACCCACACGGCGGGCAGCCCTTCCGGCCGCCATGTTGGCCGCCATGTTGGCCGCCCGCGGCTGCGCACAGGGCGGAGCGGGCCGAGGGGAGGGATCGCTGTTTGTGTCCCCAGCGCGGAGGCCATGGCGGCCGTGGCGGGGGGCGGCACGGGGCCCGGCACCGGCACCGCCGGGGCCCGCGCCGCGACCACCAACATCTTGGCCCAGCTGCGGCACGGGCAGCTCAGCGGGCGCGGGCTGACCCGCGGGGCGCAGGTAAAGGCGCTGCGAGCCGCCCGTGGGGGGCGAGCCGGGGAGGGCCGCGGGGCCTGGGGAGAGGCCTGTGGGGTTTGGGGCCCGGCCGTGCAGCGCGTCCTGCCCGAGCCTCTGGCGGAGCCGCGTGGTCGAGGAGAACCCGGCCGGCCTAGCGGGGCCTGCTCGGGGAAAGCGGCCGCTCCCAGCCCGGCCTCGGCGCTCCCGGAGGTGCCCGGGCTGTGTCCCGGTGTCTCGGTGCTCCGTGTGCCGCCTCCCCGGCCACAGCCGGGCTCTGCGAGATCCGAGGGGCAGCACAGGCGTCTGGTGTGTCGGTGTGGCCTTCCCTGCAAAGAAAGGAGGCTCTGCCTGGGACTGTAACAATGCAGCATCGAAATTTAAACGTATTTCCTGGACAAAGGGAGCCTCGTGGTATTAGGGCTTAGGAGACATTTTAGCTTTGTAACGCAGGTGGTTTTATGAGAAACTGCTCTAGGTCTGTTTCTTATTTGTCATCTTTCCCAGTTGATGATGCTGGGAAATACCAAGAAATGAAATCAGCTCTTTCTTCCGGGCCTGTGCCTGTCCTGTGCTGATACTGGCTTTTTTGGAAAAGTTGCTCAGGGATAATAGACTATTAATTTCTTTTTATGGAGAATAATTGGCATGTTTCTTGCAGATTAAATGCAAAACGGTGCAAAGACTTGGAAAATGAAACATGACATAAAGAACTTGCATTCAGGTGCTGATTTATTGAGCTGAAGTATCTTGAGAGAGGTCAGATGGAATAAAAAATGGCATTTCTCTAATTTACTAGTGCAGACAACATCATTTTCCTTCATAAACAAGGATTCTGAACAATTATTAAGAGAAGATTTGTTTGATGCCTTTTCGGGACTACCTAAAAACAGAGGCCAGACAAAATTAAGAGAATTAAAAGGTGATTATATTTATTGAAGGGCCTTCAGGTACATTTTGGGCAGACAAAGCTCCTCCAGGGGCTACACCCAAAAATGGGTCACGGGTTTTCGCACTTTTATAAGTTTGGTCCATTTGCATATTGGGGGTTAATCTTCCAATTACAGCTCCAGGTAATGAAGTAATTTACCCCGAGTTTGCTCCCCCCAGCTCACTTTTGTTTGGATTTCTTGGGGCCTGAGACAGTGAGGTGTCCTTGATTCCCAGCCTGGAGAGGAATTGTTGTGTCTGACCAAAATGGGAAAGCAGCAGCTCACACTGGATATGGAGTTTAGAGTTACAAACGAAAGAACTGCAAGGTTACAAATACATGGAAAATAGAAAAGCTAAAATCCTAAGGCATCGTGTTCATCATGAGTGCCTGTGCTTCGTTCTGTAGCAGAGAGGTAAAAGAGTGGGTGTTTTTTTACAACTCTTTTGTCCATTTGCTGCTTCCTCAGCTGCTAGTTTGGTTAATCCTTAAGAAGAGCCAGTAATTTGCTTGAATATAAACCTGTATTGACTCTTTTGAAGGAAGTCATTTCCTTGGGATTGTTTTAGGAGTGGATTTCTTACTGCACGTGGACAAACTTTGTCTCACTGCCTTACCTGTCCACCTCTGCACCGTTTCTTTCATGCACATCCTCAGCCACTGCAATTTCAGTCGGGTAAACCCATTCCAACCTTATGCACCTCTGTTGTTTGTAGGATGGTGCTTCCACCTCTGGGCTTTGGTTTGCTTGAAAAATTCAGTGCTGCTTTATTCATTTTGGGCTTTTGAGCAACCAAAAAAGCTTCTGCTGATTGCATACTTCTTAAAATGCCCAAGAATGAGGTGGGGTTTTTGTTGCTGGGGTTTTGGTTTGTTTTACTTGAAAAATGTTGGCATCCTTCTGCTGCCCTGAGAGTTAAAGGTTGGACACATGGAGCTCCCAGCACTTCATAAACGCTGTAGGAGAATATTTTAAATCACTTTGTACAAGAGCATGGAGAGATAGGACAGGGGGGAATGGCGTCCCACTTGCCAGAGGGCAGGGATAGATGGAATATTGAGAGGAAATTCTTCCTTGTGAGAGTGCTGAGGGTGCCCAGAGCAGCTGTGGCTGCCCCTGGCAGTGTCCCAGGCCAGGTTGGACAGGGCTTGGAGCAACCTGGGATGGTGGAAGGTGTCCCTGCCCATGGCAGGGGGATGGGACTGAATGAGCTTTAAGGTCCCTCCCATTCCAAACCATTCTATGATTCACTTAAGCTAAGGCATGGAGAATAACAGAATGATTATGAACTTTATGAATTCTGTGTGTCTTTACTTTTACCTTGAATCAGTTTTTTGTTTGTAGAGATCTAAATATAAAACACTTTGATGTAACTTTTAAAGAAGCAAGAAGCACAAAGCAATTTTGGCTGCTTTTTTTTTTTTTTAAGTTCTGTTTTTTATCAAAACATTCCCTGTTTTTTGTGCAGTTGACTCCTCAATGGCAGCGTGGGAGCCCTTGCTTACATTTCTCAACTGATTTGAGAAATGCAGAGCCTGAGAGCAGGTCAGGTTGCTGTGTTGGGATGTAGAGCAAGTCATGAGAGAGTCCTTGAAGCTCTTTCTAGCCGTGTTTTGGAAGGAAGTTTGGGGTCATGTGCTGCCTGGACTGCACTGCTGTGCTGTGTCTTGTGAGGAGGGGAAACCTTTCTCAAGATGTTCATTCAGGGAGATTGGGGAACACACTTCTGTGCTGGGGTGCCGTGGGCAGCAGTGGCATTTAGGCCTGAACAAAGTTTTGTCTACTATTCTTAGGTGATCTTAAATCCATTTTTGTATGAGGAAAGTAGGAGCTTAGCTGAGAGCTGGGAAGGATCACTGCTGACAGGCCTGCTTCTTAGAGTTCATCACTCTGATCTTACAGGGACATAAAAGCATTTTTGATAGTAACAGCCCCCTGAATATCTGGCAGTTTTGAGGTCAGCTGAGGCTCTGAAATCTGGATCCCTGTGTGTTCGTGCTGTGCTCACCTACCCAGAGCCCTTGGCTTCCTTGCCAGTCAAGTGTCTTGCTTTATTACTAATAATAAATAATTCAGAGAAGGGCAACAGAGCTGGAGAGTCAGTCAAATGAGGAGTAGCTGAGGGAGCTGGGAAAGGGGCTCAGCCTGGAGAAAAGGAGGCTCAGAGGGAACTTCTGGCTCTGCACAGCTCCCTGACAGGAGAGCCCAGCCAAGGGGAGATCAGGCTCTGCTCCCAGGAAAGCAGGGACAGAACAAGAGGGATGCCCCAAGCCGTGCTAGGGAAGGTTCAGGCTGGACAACAAGAGGAATTTCTACTTGGAAAGGATGGTTAAGGCATTGTCAGGGGCTGCCCAGGGAGATGGTGGTGTCCCCATCCCTGGAGACGTCCAGGAAATAACTGGACGTGGCACTCAGTGCTCTGGGCTGGGCATCAGTCACAGGTTGGGCTCTATGGTCTCGGAGGTCTTTTCCAATCTAAATGATTCTGTGATAAGTTGATTAACTAAAGCAGATTTCAGCAGATACTGCCATTATTTGTTCCTGTATCTGTTTTATCATATTGCTGGCATCAGCTGCTGCCCTGCACACAAACCTCTGTGTTGGTATCAGATTGCATAACCTTGGATCAGGATTTGCCCTGCCCTGAGCACAGAGCCAGTGCAGGGGGCTTTGCAGGTGCTGCTGAACCAGCAGCAGAACAGCTTTCCAGAAGTGACACATTTCTAATAAAGAACAATATTGGTTGTGAGGGGCCTGCTGTGCTGTCCTTTTTGGGGCACAGCTGTGCCGTGGATCACAGGCTCTGGGACGAGTTTTGTGCTGCTGTTCCTTGAAAGCCAAGAACACTGTGGCTCAGCTGATCAAGCTCAAATCGGCTTAGCAAGAAGGTACACACACACTTCATCTGCTGCAAGCCAGCTGTGAACATGGGTATGGCACGAAGGCAAAGGGTGTTTAGTGCAGCTCTGAGAATCCCTGCAGACAGAGCAGTGTAATAATGGACTAACCAGAGATTTTTTGGCAAAGTAACGTGCTCCTGGTGCAGTCCCAAGAGCTGAACGTCAGCACTGCTCTCACCCTCACAGGACTGCCAAGGCTTAGCTGAAACAATCAGAATGGAAAAAAGGAGTCCATTTTTCCTGCTGTATTTCATGCTTTGCTATCCCTAGGAGCAGACACTTCCCTTAGCAGGATAGTCTCTATCCACTCAAAAAAAAGCTCAGTGGAAGGAAAACATTTTCTCTCTCAGACATTCAGATTTCCACCTCCTGCCACTGCAGATTATCAGCAGGAGTAGCTTCCTAACCCTGAGAAAAGATTTTTAGTTTTGAGTCAGCTTTTTCTTTCCTCCTTCAAAAGGCACCAACAAAACAACATTCACGTGAATATAATCCACTTGAGTAGCTCTAATTGTGTGGGTGTTTAGCAGGGTTGGCCTCTTCAGGGGAGGACAGTGAGGGAGTGTTGGAAAGCCTGGACATGCTTTTATTATGTAACAGGACCAGAGTTCTGTCATACATTAGAAATGCTAAAAAAGTGGCTGTGTTAGACTTAAGCTGTGTTGGTGTCTGATTTTTTTGTGTGACTGAGGATGAGTGAGAAGAAAAAGGTAGATGTGATACTCCTTATCCCTCTGCTTTTTCTTAGATAGCCTTACAGATTTTGTTTTCTTTCAAAATGAATTAAAGAAGAAACTTAGGAAGTTCCAAGCAAAAGTAGTAATTGAGATATAATTTTTAATATAATTATACATATTAGTTGATTTCTTTTTCTCTGAGAGTAAGGTCAGCAAAGCAAACATTAGCTGTGTTCTGATCTGGTAGATCCTGTATGGGTTTGGAGAGCTGCTGGTGTCAAAGGTCTGTGTTGGAATTGTCCAGCTGTGGAGATTGGAGATTCAGGAGATGGGTTCCTTGTTTTGGTAGATCAGCTCTTCTTCCAGTTCTGGTGAGCAGAGCTCTAGTCTGGGACTTGTGGGAATGGTTAGGCCTGGCTGGAAGCTGTGGCATGTTTTATCCTAGGACATTGTGTCCCCTGGGTTCATGCCTGGCTTTTAGGCTGGCAGGAGAAAGG